TAGAAGTCCGCTAAAAAACTATGTAGAAATATTTTAACCTGCATCAGTTCGTTAACAGGTATATAACTAGCCATGACAACCAGAAGACTTTCAATACCAACCCCCGTCAACACAACAATTTCAGATAGAATATACACTTAAGAATTTTATTCTTGATAAAGGAGGGTAAGGCTACCATTAACAAGCCTTAGCCGACCCTGCGTACTTAAGAACGACACAGAACTGAGAAGAAACAAAAAATTAAGACCAAATCCATAATAAGACGAAGAACAAATTTGAAATGCATGACAGCACTTTTTTAAACCTCATGAACCACCCAACTTTACTAAAAAACCTTTCGCCACATAGTAGGCTCAAAAGTCAGTGCAACAAAAAATGCTAATAAACTTACAAGAAAAGACGGAACTCAAAACGACTTCCAGATTAAAAAAAAACAAAAAATGCTTTGTTAAAGGTAAAAACAATTTAAGACAATGCCAAGCTCCTTTACAATCGAACAAATACATCCTAACAACATAGGTGCCCTTTGCTCCTAATAACTAAATGTCGAGCTCATTTAAAGGCAAAACCAAAGTTACAAAAGCTGAAAGCTTTCACGCCATTTGGAATGACTTTCCTATTCAAAAGGCACACTTGAAAGAATAGTTTTGTTCATGTAGAACAAAGTCGTAAAAAAGTAATTGCCAATTAAAACTTAAATTAGCCACTGCAGTAAAGAATGACCTCACTCAAAAGCTGTAAATCGTAACGCAAAGAAATAATGTGTTCTGATCTGCAAAAATTTCTAACTAGCCTCTAGACTCGACGAAAAATTATCATAAAAAGCGTCGAAAATGCTATGTACATACAACAGAAACACAGTTAATGAGGACTTTAAAAGAGAGAAGCATTTTCATATTCTTCACGATCAGCAGTAAAAAAAAGCTTCAGCCTAAATGCATCGACGCCGTTTAAATAATATCGAAATAATCGTTTTTCACGTATAAACCCTAAATTGCTGTATAAGCGCATTGCATCGGAATTGGTCACTTCCGTTTCGAGAACCACCTAAAGTTTTACTCAACTGAATGAACAACAAATAATATGCTTCCAAGCGAATGAATGAGGGGCACAAAATGCCGTAGAAATTAAAAACAATGTTGAAAACGAACATCACCTCATCACAACCCATTTTGCGCATATTACCGATAGCTCGTTGAACGAGGCATGTACCTACAAGTTTCAAACTCGATTACTAGAAATTAGCAACGTTAAAAACCTACCAAAGTTATAAAAAAGAAAACAAGTGAAAAAAAAGAATTTCAGAAATGAAATTATTTCCAAAACAAAAACTCAAAAACAAAAAACTCTAATGTCTCTGTCAAAAAAGTTATTTGAAGTAATAAGGTTCATGATTTCTGAGGCTAGAAAAAAATGAATAAAAAGACTGCAAAAATGGAACGCATGTAATACATAAAAGATTCAATAAAAAACTTAAAGAACCTATTCCCATTTTCCTGCAAGACTTGTCTACAGCAAGCATTGCGATGTAACCTCTTCTTCTTTTTAGCAAATTCCTATCCAGTTTGCAAATGATAGCGCCAACAAACTCATTAACGCGAGTATCTAAAGCCTAAAATACGAAACCAGTAATTGCAACTTTAAGCTAAAATGACTCGTCCTAAAAGCATCTAAATGCAACATCTGATGAAAAAAAATCATAAAAATTTGACAAAATAAAGGAAATTTACAGCACCTAAAAGACAGAAATATGAAACTTTCCCGAATGAAACGCATACAAATAATCAAAAAAGTTAGAAACTAACTTTTTCAATATGCGCTGATGATCTAAAAAAAATTCTACTGCTATAGCCCAAAACTTACTAAGAAACATAAAGAAGGCCAATTATGTATAAAATATCGATAGGTATATATAGAATAAGGCTCGCTTAAGTCTTTAGTTATAAGGCGCATAATACTGCCCATTTGACGTTCATCCTCATAGTCGACAATCTTTATATATTCAGGTGGATATGAAATTTGAGCAGAGGTCTCATTTTCCCTTGTTTCAGCGTTTAAAGAACCCGCTACCGCTGACGGCAGAGCCTCTTCGTGTTTGAAATGTTCGACATTTTCGCCTTCCGGTTCCCCAAACTTCTGAAACACTTACTAATCTGGCGCAAATAAGCATTCAAAGATATATATGATAGCGAAACCTGTAAGGCAAATGAATAGCCCCTTCATGCAATGTAAAACACAGCTAAATTAAAGTGATAATCTTCCATTCCAAAAGATAAAAACAGAAATCAACTTTCAGCACATCTTAAAACTGAGAAAAAAAGAAACAGCATTAAAAACTGAAACCATTCACAAAAAATTGGTTTTTTCAAGCACTTGATCAAAATGCAAGTAACTGAACTTTTGTAACTCGATGTACATCCTAATTTTTTACTCTATAAACTTTGTTTTTTAATATTACAAATAACCTAGCAACGCATAGTCTCTAACAACAGGTAAAAAACGAAAGTAAAACGAAAGAATGTAAAACACATAGACTGCAATAATTTGAAAAAAAAAACACTAACTGGCTGCGAATCAGAATGAGATTCTGACAAAGCAATACACCTCTTTAGCCGCACCAGAAGATCGTCAAATACAGCTTCGTTTGACATTGGCATCCACTGCTCTCGGGAGATATCATAAACGGTATTGTACTTTCATAGACAGCAGTTCTGTTACAAGAGTTTATTATACAAGAATTCGAGCCACTGCAAACACGAGAGCAACAGGATGAAGCACTGGAATATAATAAAAATTATTGCAGAGAAAATCGTACATTCACATTGAAATGAACGAACAAACTAAAGATTCAGTTCAATCAAAAGGATGACAAATTAAATGTACTATATATTGACAAACATTTAAAAGTTACAGAGAAAAATGAAACATGGAAAAATCAGCCATATTTGAAGGTAAAAAAAAAGAACGACTGCAGAATGCGTCAACAAATTTTGGTATAACTGAGATCAAAAAAAATTTTTTTTTGTTTTATAAACTCTTTCTTTCAATATAGTTTACAGCTAATAGTTTTAGTTTTCAAATCAATCACTGATGATTCTAAATTCTTTTCTATAACTATTCAGAAGAGTTTTTGGCAAGTTAAAATTTAAAATTTCAGAGTCACTTAACTAACAAAGACTGCCGTATTTCAAACGAAATATCTGCAAAAGTCACAAGTTCTTCTTTAAATTCCCA